CCCCACAAAACCCCCACCCACATACCCAAACACCCACAGCCCCCACAAACCTATACTCACCCCCACCCCCGTCCACAATATACTAGACTAAGACTTCATTTTAAGCTATTGTTCAATCACCTCTGTGTACACTTCACAAATGCATGTAAATTGGGACAAAAATATTTTTTGAAATCAAATGAATGAATGTTGTAGCTGTGGGATTTTTAGAATATAATTTGGTATTTTTCTGGTTCTGAGATGGCAAAACCCCTTGCTGAAAGGATTATTTCCAGGGGCAAAGGGAGGGACTTCTGGTGGCAAAAGTCGCGGGTTGGGGGTGGGACTTCCAGTCCCAAGATGGTGACCAGGGGGTGGGACACCTGTCAAGAGGCAGGGCTATCCATGCAGCCTTCAACAGTTTGTCAAAACTCATTAAGTGGCCCTTTGCCCAAAATAATTGCCTGCTCCTGCCTCAGACCTACTTTGCAGGGTACCTGGCCCTCTGATTTTTTTTCCCTGAGTTTGCTAAAGTCTGCTTTTCTTAAGTTCAGTGTCTTTATTCTCTTCATCCTTCTTCCTCTTTGGATCTTGAACTCTCTCATTTCTTGGTTGCTGTCACCCAAGTTAACGTTCCACCTTCACATTCTCAAGTAATTCCTCCCTGTTTATGGGTAGCAAGTCAAGAAGAGCTTCCCTGCTAAGTTCGCCTTTACCATCTGTACTAAAAAGTTATCCCAAACACACTCCAAGAATTTGCCAGACTGCTTATGCACTGCTGTTTCCCTCCCAGCAGATGACCTGACAGTGAGCCTTGTCTGTAGTGACTGTCTTTTGGTAAGAGCAGCTTGTAGTTCAGTCTGTCACCATAAAATTACTTTTTTATTCCTTGGACACATAACCAAGTGTTTTGTTTAAACACCTTTGCAAATGGCAACTCTTAAGTCCAGTTTCCTTATTCAATCTAGAGCTCTCATGTCCAGCCTGCAGAATAGGCCTGCTTTAACACTGACTTCAGAGCATTTTGCTTCTAATTAAACCCTTAAAAACTTTTACTGAGAGTTGAGGTTGTCTAGTGCATTTCATACCTTTTCACAGTGTTAAGTACAGCTGTGTTTTGCCAGAAAACAAGAAATTCAGTGTTTAGTTTCAAATAGTGCACCTGAATTTTGCCTTCCTTGAGCAATACTCCAACAGGCCCATAACTGGGAGGGAAAGGGGGTGTGAGACAAACAGGTGTTAGAGGTGCCTCCTAGTAGGTGAGCTCTGTTGGGTGGTCTTATACTTTTTTGCTAAACATGGCAAGTGGGTGTTGTGCATAATAAAACTGAGCCTGTTTTTATACCAACTGCTTCAAAGTTGCTAAATGTTACACCCCCTCTTCTCTTGCCTTGAGAATTTCTTCCTTGATGTTGCCACTATTTATTTCTTGCTAACCCCTGGATGCTGCTGTCATGCGAGTCACCAGACTGCAGGTCAGCCCCATCGTGCACATCTGCAGGCACCTTCTACAGAACTCAGTGCTCCAGTGAGAGAGAATTAATCCTTCTACGTAGTCATGAACCTCTCCTCTCATAATTGTGGATGGCTCTAGCAGCCTGCTCAGTCATCCCCCGACCCTTCCACAGCTGAAGTGTGTACAGGTAAATCCTGGGTTTCAGATCTGTGGAAGAGGACACAAGCAGCAGCATGCTTTATTCTCTGTTTTATAGTAGTCGTTCTCTATTTTACTGTAGGGCTCGCTTGAAAGAATTATTTTGTGTAGTAGTGCTGCTTCTAGGTTTTTGATTTGCAGGGGTGTCTTGACATTAGCTGTGTATTTCTTGGTTTTTCGAGAATAGGATGCAGGTGTGCTTGATATTTTGAAAGAGCATACAGTGAACTTAACCTTATGTCAACAGAGTTTCCCGACATTTCTCCGTGTGTGTGTGTGTGGTGTTCCTATTCTCATGTGCCAAAGCCAGTTTTCCATCTCTTGTGTCCATTGCTTCCACAGCCATGATTACCCTAGCCACATGATGCAATAGCTGCATATTGGTCTGCTGTTAGCTTCTGCATGCTCTCCTCAATCTGCTTGTCCAAAACATCCCCATTGTCTTTATTCAGCCCTCCTCCCTATGAATTGCTGGGCTTTGGCATAGGACCCACAGGTTGAGATGCTGTGGGGGAGGCTACCGGGTTTATCATAGAGAGTTAGTGCAGAGTCCCTTGGAAGGAGAGAGACAGAAATGGGAAAATCATAGAGGAGAGGAGATTGGCAAAACAGAAGCCCCCTTCCTATATATTCCACTTACTCCTTAGGCCTGTGCTGCTCTCATTTTTATTTTCTTCTAAGCAGCGGCATCAAGTAAAAGGGTCATGTGGAGCCCTCTTCCTGCTGCTGCACCTCTTGGGGAAAGGGAGGGGTTATCGATTCTCTCCAAGTGGCAGTGAGAAGGCAAATTGAGGAGTCTGTTCCCTTGGCTAGGTAGAGGAGCAGTGCAAAGATAAATCACAGAGAGAGGGCACAGATAGGTGTGCTTCCCTTTTTTAGACCCGCCTTCATCCAAAGTATGGCACTAGAGGTGCCCAGCTTGACCCAGTTTGGGGATTTGAGCTGTGTCACGTTTTCCAAGTTTCTAGAGAGCAAAGGTCCCTTTGAAGATCATCTCTTACTTAAAGATTGTAGAGAAACTTTTAAAAATTGGGTTCTCAAGATTTAGATGATCAAGCTGGGGTTTAAGAAGGGTTTGAAGGATTTCTCGAGTAAGGAGCTTTGACTAGCACTGTGTGTGTGTCTCTCAGTAGCTGGCTAGATCTAGGGACCAAAATTTTGTAAGGAGCAGAGCCCACCCCTTTCCAGTCCCTCTAATCCTGATGCAGCTGCAACACTCCTTTTTCTCTGACTGTCCTGGTACCCCATTCATCTTTGTCCCGTCACTGTGCACTAAGAAGTTATACAACTGTCTAGATGAAAGGGGCAGCCCTGTACAGTCTTCCCTTGACAAAAATCACTCAGTGGTGTGCTGTTCCCTGATCATGCTCTGTCCTCTCTCTCTTGGTTACTGCCTTCTCTGAAGTGTTTCTTAGGCCATTTCAGGTCCCCACTCTGTGTAAAGGTAGTGTCTTTGGCAGTGCTGTTGAAGGAAGATCAGAATCTGCAGGGTAAATTTTAGGGCACTTATGTTCTCCCACGGAACAGAAATGTTGGGCTGTGGCAGGATCTGAAAAAGGTGCCCCTGCAGAATGGAGACAGAACAAGGAGCACTCAAAATGCAAGGTTCTCCACCTTGGGAGGAAAAATCTGCAGCATGCTTATAGGCTTGGCAGTGCTATGCTGACTAGCACTATGGAAGAAAGAGACTTGGGGGTCATCATTGACCACAAGATGAACATGAGCCTGCAATGTGATGCTGCGGCTAGTAAAGTGAGAAAAACGCTGGCTTGCATCCATAGATACTTCTCAAGCAAATCCCAGGACGTCATTCTCCCCTTGTACTCAGCCTTGGTGAGACCACAGCTGGAGTACTGCATCCAGTTTTGGGCTCCACAATTCAAAAAGGATGTGGAGAAACTTGAGAGAGTCCAGAGGAGAGCGACGCACATGATCAGAGGTCAGGAAAACGGACCTTACAACAACAGGCTGAGAGCCGTGGGGCTCTTTAGCCTAGAAAAGCGCAGGCTCAGGGGTGATCTGATGGCCACTTATAAGTTTATCAGGGGTGACCACCAGTATTTGAGGGAGCATTTGTTCACCAGACCGCCCCAAGGGATGATGAGGTCAAACGGTCATAAACTACTGCAAGACCGTTTCAGGCTGGACATAAGGAAGAATTTCTTTACTGTCCGAGCCCCCAAGGTCTGGAACAGCCTGCCATCGGAGGTGGTTCAAGCACCTACATTGAACACCTTCAAGAGTAAATTGGATGCTTATCTTGCTGGGATCCTTTGACCCCAGCTGACTTCCTGCCCTTTGGGCAGGGGGCTGGACTCGATGATCTTCCGAGGTCCCTTCCAGCCCTAATGTCTATGAAATCTATGAAAACCACTATCTAAGGTAGTACTGGAATTTGAGAAACTGGGTATTGCTTAGAGTCAGTGACTACAGCATACCCTCTTGAGTTACCCAGTTTCTGGAGAGCTAACATGTTTATACTGGGGTAACTTGCATCATGATTTTGTACACTAGTGTAAATTACGCCGGGACTTGGAGATAAGTAGCTCTTCTTGCTAGGTGCTGTTACAGTGCCTTCCCACTAGGTGGCAGGGGAGCAAGTCACAGCATGTTTCAGCAAATGGTATGCTGAATAGAATAAGTCTGACAACACCTAAAGTAAAATTTGCAACTGGATTTCTCTGTGTGATACCTTTATTTCCCACGTGCAACAAACCCACTTGTGAAATAGTGTTATCTGACACTCTGCTCACAACAAATGGACTCGCAATTAAATATATGTATCATATTTGTTTCTTTCCAGCCTAACTGAACCATTCCTGGAGCTACTGATGAAAGAAATTATGCACCCAGAGAGTAATGCACCCAGTGGAATAAGATTCCATTTTATTGACATCTATCTGGATGAACTGTCTAAAGTTGGAGCCAAAGAGGTAGAAAACTCATGATTGATGGAGCTGTGCTGTGCAAGTCTCCCCTAAAACAAATGAAATTATTTTTAAATGTATTTCCTCTATGTTGAACTCTTTTAAGTAGCCATATTCATGTTGAAGAAGCTGCTAAAATCCTCTTTAGTTCTCACTGTTTCTCTTTGCTTTTCTCTTGACTTGGATAAGGAGCATAGATTAGCTGATTCTTGTGTCCTGGTCCTCCAGCTGTAGGCTTGAAATACAGGGAGGGGAAGTACATTGATTCTTGTTCCTTTTTATTTAGAAATACAGTAGGAAAAGAAAAACCCAACCTTTTTTTTTTTTTTCCATGTGTGTGAATATTAATCAGTCTCTGCTTTTTACAAAAAACTCAAGCTGGAATCCACAGGTGACCTGCCCCTTCATGCCATTATATTGCAGATCTTTGGAAATCTACTTCCAAACCAGAAGTTGTCTCCACTAAGTAGGGGTGTCTGTGGTTACAGGCATGTATGTTGATTAACTGCATCAGAAGGAAAGCTTCTGATACAGAGGAAGTATTTACAATCACGGCCCTTATTTTGCAACAGTTCCTGCTCTCCCAAAATTGCATAGGACTCTCAAGGCCAAGGATTAAGATCTTCAGAGCAGTTGATAGGGCTTGGATTTCTTTTAATGAAAGATGTATGTACATCGCTTGTACCACATTGAAAAATCTCCAGCTATCCTTCTAAACAGAGCATAGCATAGAGGTCCAGTCTTCCTGGCCAGTGCTATTGTATTGATAAGTCTGTAAGTTAAAGTCAGGTTCAGAAGACTTCCAGGTCTTAGCTGCTGCTCCACTGCAGGCTCCCTTTGTACTCTGGTACTTCTAAACAACACTTCACAAGATTAACATCTTGGACAGCCCCCTGTGTGAATGTGGTGTCCAATAAATAGCACAGCCCTTAATCAAAAACTGCAATCTTTACAAAGCCCAGACGAGGTAGATAGAATCTGCACGTTAAGCGATAATACCAGACGGTGGCTTATAGATTTGGAAGTTGATATCTGATGCCATACAAAATGAGATGTTCTTGTGCCAAGTTGCATCAGTTTTCTCCACCTCGCCTCTCCACCTGTGAAATGAGGAGCATTTAAATATTATGTAGCTTAATATACCAATGCTTGCAAAGCATTCTGGGTTTCTACAGCTGTTTCATCTGCAATCTGGAGGGCACTGGTAATAAAAATGTTGCTAGTTGCATATGTCTATTTTAGTGGGAAAATGTACTAGAAGTTCAGGCATATCTTCTTTAGAGAGATCTTCCTCGTGACTACAGTGAATTAGAATAGGTATATTAAATAGCTACTGTATACCAACTCCTTTTGCTTTCTGATTTTTCAGCTTACAGCAGATCAGAATCTCAAATTTATTGAACCTTTCTGCAAAATTGCTGCCAAGTCAAAGGAGTAAGTTCAAAAGCTTGTTACTCAGTTTTTTTTTCTATCTGTTTTGTTTGACATTAAGAAGTAGGAAGGCATTTCAAGTAGTGATAAACACATAGACTGAAAAAAAACCCTAAAGACTTAAGCTCACTGAGGAGGAAGGGTACTGAAAGCAATCACATGGGCAGACATATGAAACTGAGTTAACTCCGTGCCTTCTCAGTCGTACGCAAGGTGTATTTTAATATAGGAACAGTGTCTACCTCTTCTTGTGCAGTACCTAACGTAACAGAGGCCTAATTCTGGCCAGATTTTCTAACTGCTTTTATCATATAAAGAAATTAACAAGCACCAGTAAAATTTTAAATGCTAGATGAAATGCTAAATGGTGGGGATGGGATGTCTTTGAAACTGAGAGATTCCTGTTCAATGGTACACTCTTTCCTCACCCCCCCTCCCCCAAAATGCTCGTTCCTCCTCCCTCATCTTCAAAGGTTTGTTCTTATTTTAATATTTAATGGAAGGAAAATGGGGGCCTAATGCTGTGTGCATTTCTTCATGCCACTTCATACTCTTTTATAACAGCCGTCACATGATGCAAGCAGTAGCTCGGGGTATCTTTGAAACCATTGTGGATCAGTCCCCTTTTGCCATTGAAGATCTAATGAAAGAAGTGAAAACAAACGGGGGTGGTGTTGACCTATCTGAAGAAGACGAATTGAAAGATGAAGAAGGGGTAATGGCCAAAGGTAAAGAAAATGTGATAAAAATTAACCCAGACTTGGAAAGACCAGGGTACCCAAAGAACTAAGGTTCAAAAACCTTATTCCAGTGATTTCTCAGTCAGCATGCTCCAGCATCCTGGAATGCCTTGAGATCTTTTCATGGGTGCCATGCAGTGTTAACGCTGTTAGGTGTGCAAACATCACCACAAGATAACCCAGAGATTTCAAATAGGAACTCAGTGTTAAAAACATTCTGACCTGCTGTGGCCTTTCTGAGTTCTTTGCAGCAAAAAATCTACTGTTCTTCTGTAGTAAAAAATCAAGTGAAAATAGAGAACTGGCATTTTCTGAAGGGTGCTTGGAGTCTATCAAGATGTGACTTGAATCTAAAAAGGCTGAGAACCACTGATCTATACTCTTAAATCATGTCTGCCTCCAACCACCCCGGAGTATTCACGATGGTACGAGAACAGTAAATTTTGCCTCTGCTTTTTTTTGGATGATCTCATACCCCAAAGAATCATAAACGTATAAATTACAAAAATCTCAATACTCCCTTTTTGTTCGATATGGTGCAATATATTTCAGCGTATGTACTGCATCAGCTGTGTGTAACTTGACATACAGGACTGTCTAAAACCTAGTATTTTGTGGCATTCATTTGTTTGGGGTGATGAGGGAGGATCAGGGCTAGAAGAAGAACTCCTTCACTTCAGTTTTCCTTTACTGCTGGCACAGTCGTTTCCAAGACCCAGAAATAATACTACGGCCATGCAATGTACAGGAATTTTTTGTCAGATCCAAACTGCCTTGATAGACAGCTATGTATTATCCAAAATTTAAAGAGCGGGGAATGAGGGTATAGAGAATCTGTTCCCTGTCATTGTTAAAGCAAGGAAAGCTACTCATGTTTCACCTCTCAGCCATCTGCTAGGTGAAGTCTGCTTCCCATTCCCATGCACAGGGAGATGATTGGCTTTACTGCAGCCCAAGTACTCTTCTGCACTCATTGTCCTAGACTGCTTTTCCTGTTCTGGCGAACTGAGTTTTAAAATCCAGCCTTTTTCATAACAACAGACAAACATTTGTCAAGAAAATCAATACAGGACCCTGAAGAACAGGAGGACCTTTCTGAGGATGCTGATGAAAACATTGGGCCTGTTCTCCAGGTTTGTGGCTTTCCTACCTTGTGTTTTCAGGTGATGAATGCTCATAAGTAACTGTGCATCTCTTTATTACTTACTGGCTACTAGAGCCAGGGACCAGACAAAGAATGCAGCAAGCATGTCACAGTCTGGCTCTTACTATCTTCAGTTTAATAGTCTATAAATAACACATTCCTTATGAGTAAGTGACTGAAAAACAAGCCTGTGCACTAAATTCCATAGTCTTTCCTCTCCCCCACCCTCCACAGGAGGTAAAGAAATTCAGGCTGTAAAAGCAAAATCTTGTTCTGCTTGGCCCAGGAGCTAGTACATATCTTACTTTTGTTTTCAGTGTGAATATTAGAGTAGGAATTTGCAGAAGAGATTTCAAACTCATCCAGCTCTGAGCTCCAGATTAGTGGAGGGGGGAAAGCAGGGACACATGCAGGTGTACACGGGAATAGATTTTTGACAAAGCAAAAGATATAAAGAAATCAGAAATGGAAAAAGCATATGCATCTTGAAGTATTTATAACAGCAGTTGCACTGGGTCATTTGCTGTAATCAATTAACTACAGAAGCCATATTCTCTGTTGTTTTTGACAGTTTGACTATAAAGCTGTTGCCGACAAGCTCTTTGAATTGGCAAGCAGAAAAAATACCCCTGCCTGTAACAGAAAACGCCTGTACAAATTGGTCAAAAAGTAAGTTCTCTTGAGAGAGAATTTGTGTGACACTGACTTGTCTAAATAGATGTATTTTCCTTTTCTCTCTGTCCCCTTCCTGACCACATCCACAAGACTCTTAACAAAAGTATGTCCATTTCGTTATTGTCTGGACCAGTATAGAAAGAGATGGTTCCTTAAAATATGTGGTATATACAAGAACAAGAGCTGCTTACGGATCTGAAAAAATAGAAACAAAATGGCACTTTAAATTTGGCACTCCTCCGTACTGAGCCCAGTGCATGCCCAGAAGAAGCATCATGTTAGCTGGACTGGCTCTCCCAGTGTCTGTATGGATTGGATGCTTTAGCAGGGTTTTTATGATGTTTTTATCTAATAGCTGATTGAATTGGCTATTAGATAAAAGCGTCAAAAAGCCCCACTGAAGTGCCTTACCTACACAGGACTGGGTCGAACTAATGCACTGCTTCTTCCAGTAATGTCTGAGGTTTTTTGGGTTTTTATCACTTCTTTCATCAGCGAAGATGTCTATCACGCGCGTATATGTATGGATCTGACACTTTTCACAGAGTCCTAGGAACTAGAGCTGGACAAGGCTCTTTGTCTTGTCTGTACCTCCATGGCAATTTAGGATTGTTGCTGGCACTGTGTTCTGAAGTGCTATGTCCTGTTCCATGCAGAGTATTTTAAACTGATAATTATTCTGCATTTTCTTTTGTGGAACTTCTCTCTACTTTCTTAGTCTGTATCTGCATTGTAAGTGGATGATATAACTATATAACACATTTCGACAAATCTGTCTCTATCTGGCTTGGGTAACAAGCACTGAAGCCTCAGGGGTTCAAGCTTGAGAACAGTGTACAAGTCCACCCAGGAGGGTAGAGTATGTATTTGGCAGCTGAAACTCGTATCACCATGGCTTCCCTGTTCTTTGTACCTTAGCAAGCTAGATTAAAGCTCATGCAAGTACATTTACATGTGCTGCAATGAAGCTTTCTGATGGCAGTATGGACGGCTGCTTCTTCAGGGTTTCCAAGAGCGCTGCTCAGACTAGAAATGAAGGAGCAGTGTTACATCGCACTTTCTCAAAGATGTCTGCATCACTTTAAGTGCTTGGATTTCTGAAGCAGAACTGGATGGAACCAGCCTTTTATTTACTCCCTTCTCCTCCATTTCTTATGCTGCCCTGTAAATGGGGACTGTGTGTAATAAATACAAGAGCTGGGAGGTGGTAAAGTTTTCATCAAATACTGCTGTAACAATAACAACTTCTTTTTAACTTCTGTTTCAGATTCCAGGACCTCGCAGAAGGTGAGCACTGAGCAGCACAAAAGATATCATGAAAGGATTCATGCCATTTTGTTTTACCACGTGTTACAAAACTGTCTCCACATGGAGCTTTAACCTGTGTTTTAAAGGGGTCAAGTTTTGGAGGCATAACTTGCTTCACTTCACAAGGGAGGCCACATCCCTATCTCTAATGCTTTAGAATTTGGGCAGCATCATAGTACTATGGACATGAGAGGGTCATGCCTTTTTGTTTGGATTTTTTTCTCCTTAAATGAAAAACATAGTTACTTTGATTTAAAATAATGGAGAAACTGCACACTCCTATAGTGCATTCAGTATGCTGCTGGGTGAATTGAGTAGAGACTTGGTGTTGCTTGTGGGCTACATGTTGTGAGGAAAAAAACAAAACTGAGAACGGTTTTGTTTTTCAGAGGTCTTATCAGGCTTTTTGCTCAACAGGCATCTTTCCACAAGATAATTTCCCTGAAGATGTTTCTACAGATGAAGATGATGATACATTCAGCAGGGGAAGACAAAAGAAGAAAGCTGTCAAATCTGTGGAAAAAGCCAAAGGTACAAGGCAATGCTAAGCAAGCGAGGATGCCTGCAACAGTCCCTGTGGCCATGTCCAGACAAGCGTGGCCATACAGTATGTGGTGCTGCAGACACATCTGCGGCGCTACATATTGCACGTTCAGTTGCTCTCTGCACTGCAGTGGAACAGTGCGGAGGGGTTTTTTGGCTCCTGAATATCCCGGGGTCAAAAAAACCTGTGGGGGGGAAAAAAAAAAAGAGCGGTGCACACACACAGGCAGCATGCACTGCTCAAAACTGGAGCCGGACCAGCCAGAGCTGAGTTGTGGCTGCTGGCCAGGCTCTGCGTGGCAGAATCATCGCTTCTGCAGCCCTGGGGAGCCCCCAGGACTCCAGGTATATTGTTGCTGGGGCCAGCCTCCCCTGCCCCATCTGAGGTAACCTGCCATACACTAAAGTGTGCACAGCACAGATGTGCCCTGGGGACAACTAGCAGCAGCACAAAGTGTGTTGCTGTTAGTTCTCCCCGGGGAACCAAATGTCCATGCCATATGTGGACACAGCCTGTGTGGTTTAGTAACCCAGTGGGAGCCAATTGATTGGGGATATACTTGTTGCAGAGAAGCTTGAGGTGAAATCCCGACCTTTCAGAAATCAGTGAGAATTTTACCATTAACTTCAGTGGATTACATCGCACGTCTGTCTCCCTTGAAAGGCAGAATGGAAGGAAACTGTACTTTGCATTACCAGATCAAGAAATGCTGTTTGCTCTGAAAACGGGGGCACATCTGTCCTCTCAAAAGAAGAATGCTGGTAGAATGTGGGTGATCAGCAGGGATCCGGGTTTTCCATTTCCCATGGAAAAACAGAGTAAACTGCGGATTTTGCCTTTTACCAGAGGCAAACATGGATTTCTCATTTTTATCAGAGAAACCTGTGGATTTTGCCATTTTGCAATGAGCTCCCTGCAACCTGGCAGACTTCCAGCCTGCAGGGAGCTGGAAGGGAGTGGGAGGAAGGCAGAAAGACAGGGGGTGCACCAAGCAGCCTGCAGAGCAGCTCCAGCAGGTAAGTGGGGGAGGGGAGGGGGATTGAGACCCCTGTAGGGAGGGAGCTGGTCAGAGCTGGGGCTGCTGCCCAGCTGGGTGGGGCTTGGGGCCTGAGGCCGCAATGCACAGCTGCAGGGCCCCAGCTGGGAGCAGGATGGGGCCACGAGTGGCTGGGGAAGGGGGAGAGCTGGCTCCATGCTGCTGTGCACACTCCCAGCAAAGCAGGGGAGACCCACGCCCCACAGATCTGTACCTGGGGCAGGCGCAGGCTGCGGGCTCAAGCTCCAGCCCTGTTTCCCTCCCCCAGGGCCTCAGCAGGGCTGGGGTGGGGGCTGTGGCAGGGCCTTTAATTTTAATCGCAGATTTTTGTGGTTTTTAGCAGAGAAACCGATTATATTTTTAGCAGATAATTTGTGATTTTTTTTTTTTTTTTTTTTTTT